ATTTTTGAGTCATGAAAATGTTTCTACATTCGATTGATAGATGATAAAAGATTTCTCCAAATATGCAAAAGTACAAGAAAATCAAATGTAAGCATGCATTGCAGAATATTATGAGCACCACATGTTCTAGATTTAGATTTATTAGGCCTAACTTTTAGAACAAATGTTACATCTAGATCTATTAACTTAGTCATTAGATCTGTCCCAGTGCAATGCCTAGTTTAATAGTTAGTATAGGTCTAAGTATGCCTATAATATAGACTACAATTTGCATGATGATGGACCTAGGGTCTAGAAATAAAGTTATAACTGCAATTAGACCTAAAGTCTAGTACATTAGTTTGCGTAAGACATGACTTACCATCATCCAATACAATTACAAACCACTACATTAGGCCTATAATGTTTACTAGATCTAGATCTAGGCCTTGCCTGTTGCATATATTGCCATTCTTGCACACCAGTTAATATGTTACATCAATCTCGTATTTTCTTTTCGTTGAACATACACTTACTTGCAAGTTGTACTCTAGAACTTGTATTTGATCTACAGATGAATGATGGAATAGTGTAATTTATTTCTGTACGTCAATACTGTCTCACTGTATTTCAGTGGACGGCTTTTAAAAGTTAAAACTGCAAACGTAATATGCACAAATAACGTAACACTGTGTTGTATTTACTTAACATAGTGCAGTTGCGCTATATCCTAGGGGAGGGCATAATTATTAATTAATAGGCATTATAGGCAGAGGACATTTTGCGCCCCTTCACATCTGCACCCTGGGGTGACTGCTCCCCTTGCCATGCCACTGGCTATCAGCATTTGAGAACATAATTGAGAGAAGTATCTATGTGATTGTTTTTATAAAAATTCAATATATATATAGATATATATATTTAAAATATGTTACACAACTCAGCATATTTAAAATACAGTAAGTGTTTTAATAATATTTTCAGATTTTTGTATGGAGATACAACTGAACACTTTTTTTTTCTTTTCTTTTTTAGGAAATTGAGGGTCTTCGTAGTGCTGTTTACCCTTCCATTTTGTGTTCAGTCACAGCTAAAGGTGACCTGGAAAAACTGGAAATAATGAGACAATTTGTAAGTTTTTGCTGTGTTATATTGTACAGCATATTTCTTATCAAAAGTAGCACTCTTTTTTTTCCCCTCTCCTTCGTTACTATACTACAGTTGGAGACATTGGATCTAGAAATGAGAAGTACACAAGAACATAACAGCATCTATTGTATTTATAATCACACAAATTGTTACTAATCTCTTCATCTGTATTTCAGTTTTACACATACTTGAACAGGCACCAAGAACTGTACTTTGAGTGGTTTCAACTGTTTTGTTAGGAGAACTAACTATAAAACAACTTTATACCTGTGTGTTGTACCAGCACAAACTGAGTCAAATATAAAGTGTACTTACGAAAGTCAGTGCAATTTTCTCCTATATGATAAATTCTATCAAGCTTCTATGATTTTACCCTGTTGAGTTTGTGAGCTTATAATGCTAAACATTGGGTTTTTATACCCACAGAGCACAGATAACCCATTGTGTAGCTTTGTGATTAAGTTTAACAATAAGCAAATCCTGTTTTATACTTTAAATTTTATAATAATTTAACCCAAAATAGGTTTTGCTATAGATTTTGCACCATTAACCTGTTTTTCATACACACTAGCTGAGATACAGTAGTATATCTGATGTTGTTAAAATATAAAATACATATTTATTTTTTGCTTATATGTATGTAAATTTCACTACAAATTTAAAGATTTATAAAATAGGTATTTGCAATCAAGAGATTGTATAATAGCTCATGTCTGTTTGTCCATAACTGTGTATAACTCATTACTACTAGTAGGTCGTGATGAAGAAATAATGAGAGCAAAATTATTTTGCAATGTGTAACAGTATATTTTTACATTTTTAAACATTTTTGTTTTTAGCAGTTCCTTGATGGTAGTCTTGATAAATTGTCAGTTTGTAACTTTGATTCAAGTACTTCTGTTATTCTATTCTTAAAGGGAGCTTACTTGTCAGCATGTGATTATGACTTCAGGACTCCTTTACATGTTGCTGCTTCAGAAGGTAATGTGGAAACCGTGAAGTACCTTCTACAGCATGGTGCAAATATCCACATGCGAGACAGAGAACACAAATGTCCAATGCAAACTGCTATTGAGTTTGACCACCATCCTGTTATAGAACTATTAAAGAATGCCGGAAGCCAACTTTGTATTCACCCTTTTGCATTAGCAGATACCCTAATAAGGTTTTTTATTTTTTATGTTCATATTTATAGCAGATAATAAACACACCATATGTTTCATAATACATTGATTACTGTAAAAAAAGACATAAGTATTATAAATTAAATTTGATTAAAATTGTTCTTAAAGCAGAAATGGTTTTGTGAAACTTGCATTAATTATTAAATATTAGACTATACTTTCATCTTTGTTTTATCAAAGTTTGTATTATTTAGATTGTTTCCTTCTGTAACATTGGATCACTAATGGTTTATTTTTAAACACACTTCTAAAGTAAACAAATATTATCTTTTATAAGAAATTGCATATTTTTGATGTTACCATTTTGGAATGTTTAAATACAACCACTTATAAATCTTTTAAAGTATAGCTTTGATTATTCTCAGTTATATGTAAGTCATAGCACTAAAATTTAATGTTTTAATTAGTTATATATGTATTTAATTACATAAATGCTGCTGCTTTTTTTTTCCACATTCATATGATCTTTCTCGTAAAACATTATAAATTTATAATGTACCGTATTTTTCGGAATATAAGACGCACCCTTATTTTGAAGACAAAGTTTTGAAAAAAAAAGCTACAGTCGCATCTGAAAGATTTTTATTGAACAAAAATTCAATTTGATACTTTAAAAATTAGTATATATTGTTCTAAACACAAAATAGCTCATTTTAATCCAAGGCAAGCACTCAAAAACGATTTTTTATTTGTTAAAGCTAGGCCTGAAACGGCCTTATTCTGCTCCACATTAAACAGGGATCGTCATGTATTTACAAGCTTTTTCACTCTCATCCATTACTATAATTTATTTTTTTATTATTTAGGGAGCATTATAAATAGTTATGTTTATAAAAGAAAAAAACTACTATTGTTATAAATAACACATTCAATTGAAC